TATATATAAAAGCAATACTTTGAATACATTGGTAGATGCATTATCGTTAAAGGTTTGGGGTCAGTAAGACTTTATACTTTAATAAATTAATACTTTAACACTTTCATTAATCATAGAGACATTAAATAGATCAAAAGTGACAGTTAAGCAGATTATTTTGGTATCACTGAGATACTATTTTTAGTTTTTATTAATATTTTGAATTTATGCTTTTGTTTCAGTGTTTTTATTTTTATATTTTCTGCTTTCATTTTAATATTAGGTAAAGTTTTAGTAGTTTTGTTTTGTTTTTTTTTGTCATTTTTCTTAGTTTTTGTTGTTTAAAATATGTCTAAGATAAAGTAAATAAAAACTAAATAAATAAGAAATGCCTTGGCAACTAGCATAATTACTGTATATTATATTATATATCAGTTAAAGTTTATTTTATTAAGTGTTTATTAAGTAAGAAAAAACAAAGTTTTACAAAGTTTGCATTAAGTAGTAATGTAGTAAGACTTCAGCCAAATTCAGTATGCACCTTATTAATGATGCATACTCTGTACAGGCAAGCAGATGAACCCAGAATATAAGCGCAGAGTTTAATATTAAATGTTTTCCCCATAGAACACCATTATAAAGAAAACACTTAAACCATTTAGCACATTGCGTTCATATTCTGGGCTCATTTGCTTGCCTGTATAAAGCACTGAATGCAAATTCTGTGTACTGAATTTGATCTTTTAATATCACTGTGATATGTTAAAGGCACTTTAAGTGTTTTCACATTAAATGTTTTAGAATGTCCCGCTGTTTTTAGTGATTGAAATATTGCGGCAGGTGCTTTATATGGATTGCTAATGGCCAAAACTTGCATTTTGTTCACATACCTTTGTTTTTATTCTTTTGAGAGGTGATCTAAATATTTTTGGATTGGAATAGATAGAAAATTGACGGGCTTGTGCTGCAGTTCTATGGAGGTTTTTGCCCGCCAGGTCTTCGAGCCAGTCACGTGACTGAAAACTATGAATAAGAAGAAATGTTTCTTGAGCATCAAATCAGCATATTAGAATGATTTCTGAAGGATCGTGTGACACTGAAGACTGTAATGATGCTGCAAATTCAGCTTTGCATCACAGGAATAAATTACATTTTACAATATATTCACATAGAAACCAGTTATTTTAAATTGCAATAATATTTCACAATTTGACTGTTTTTACTGTATTTGTGATCGCCTTGTTGACACCTTCACATTATTACATTACAACATATTTCATAACAAAGTTACTACTTATCTACTAAATATGAAGTGTGTAATATTGGTGCAGGTGGGAGCAGAACCCGTGGACGTCGTGTTCGGTGTCGTGTGGAGGTGGTTCTCAGGAGAGAAGCGTGGGGTGTGTCGAGGAGGACGTCCACGGGCAGATCGTGCAGGTCGAGGAGTGGAAGTGCACACACTCTCCTCGACCAATCAGCAAACAGAACTGCAACACCTTTGAGTGTCCGCAGTGGATGGCCATGGAGTGGTCTCAGGTGAGTGACCTTTACTGACCTCTTCTTCCATTTCTGATGACCATTGACCATCTATAGCTCTGTTCTACAACCTAGTAAGCTCAAAAATACCGATTACTGAAAAAATAATGACACCATAATGAGTAGTCTGTCTTTATGACTATATTTATTTGATGTTTATGTTTATTTTGATTTATATATATATATATATATATATATATATATATGAGCTGCACAACTGTTTTCAACTGATAATAAACAGTAAAGCAGATTATTTTGGTATCATTGAGAGTAGGGCTGCACGATATTGGAAAAAACTCACATTGCGATATTTTATTTTTCTGCAATATATTTTGCGATATGAAAAAAAAACACCACATGACTTGAATAGTTTATTTGGGGGAAAAAAATAATCAGTGATTGGGGTGATTTTGTAGGCGAGTAAATCAGCATAGCAAATAAACAAATTACAAGCATAGATAAATAACAGAACAACGATACAAATGAAATAAGCAGTGCTTTATATTTTTCAGGTAAGCCTAACATTATTCAGGCACAGAAATTGAATAATCAAATGTAAAATAACACTGCATAGTCTTCACTGTATAAATTAAATCTAATAAATCTGTGTTAAAGCTACAAAAGTGATTTTTCTTTGTTTTGTTGTTTGATTAACATTCATAACACAGAAAGCCTCAGGAACATTAAACTGCTGTAAACCAATATACTGTTACACATCCATTTTCTTTCTCAATTGTTTCCCTTCACCTAAGCCATAAGCATCTGACTGTGTTTACAAGGATACTAGCAGAGCACAGTATTTCAGGCACAAATAGACGCAGAAGTGAACAGAAATTAGTGTTCACGTGCATCTGCGTGGTTCTCACTGTGTCTACACCGGACGCGAGCGGCGCGACAAAATACAATGAACCCATGCTGTCTGTCTACACTGGATGCGGCGCGGCACACAAATCCCCGACAGACAGTAAACTGATGCCACGTTTTCTTTATGACGTACTGACACAAAGTTCAAATGATATGCAACGGTCGCTTTGTCGCGTCCAGTGTAGACAGATCAGAATATCAACTTGCATAATAATTATGCGTGCACTGTATTTTCCCTCTTCTGCTGTCGAGGTAATGCAAGGAATGTTGTGATTGGTTGTCAAGGCATAGAGATGTAATCCCATACTCGGGAGCTTGTGTTTTCGTGGCGTCTGCCGTTGCTAAGCAACCGTGACCTGCGCTCTCCACGACGATGCGGAAGTTTCAACAGGATAAATGGATTTCCAGCACTGAAAATCGCGTGCAGAAGCTCTGCTACTAAATGTATTTAAAATGGGTATCTCTGTACAGCTGTCGCGTCCGGTGTAGACACCGTGTCTGTGTGTGAGCAAAGAAAACAATCAGTATAAATATAACGATCAGTAGCCTATACTAAACAAGCGGAACTAAGCGGATGCGCACATCGCGATATCGATGCTGAAACGATATATCGTGCAGCCCTAATTGAGAGGCTATTTTTCGTTTTTATTAATATTTTGAATTGGTTTTTATTTTTATATTTTCTGTTTTCTTTTAATTTTAGTTAAATTTTTAGTAATTTTGTTGTGTGTGTTTGTCATTTTTAATCAGAAATATTTCTTGAGCACCAAATCAGTGTATTAGAATGATTTCTGAATATTAGATATTATCTAATAAAAATAGCTAATATCAAATATATAATATAATAGATATTATATAATATTAGAATTAAAATATATGAAATTATATGATTTCTGAAGGATCATGTGACACTGATGACTGGAGTAATGATGCTGAAAATTCAGCTTTGATCACAGCAATAAATTACATTTTACAATATATTTAAAACGCAAACAGTTATTTTAAATTGTAATAATATTTCACAATACTGTTTTTCCTGTGTTTTTGATCAAATAAATGCAGCCATGCTGAGCAAAAGTGCCTTCGTAGCCTATACTAAACAAGCGGAACTAAGCGGATGCGCACATCGCGATATCGATGCTGAAACGATATATCGTGCAGCCCTAATTGAGAGGCTATTTTTCGTTTTTATTAATATTTTGAATTGGTTTTTATTTTTATATTTTCTGTTTTCTTTTAATTTTAGTTAAATTTTTAGTAATTTTGTTGTGTGTGTTTGTCATTTTTAATCAGAAATATTTCTTGAGCACCAAATCAGTGTATTAGAATGATTTCTGAATATTAGATATTATCTAATAAAAATAGCTAATATCAAATATATAATATAATAGATATTATATAATATTAGAATTAAAATATATGAAATTATATGATTTCTGAAGGATCATGTGACACTGATGACTGGAGGGAGTAATGAGAAAATTCAGCTTTGATCACAGCAATAAATTACATTTTACAATATATTTAAAACGCAAACAGTTATTTTAAATTGTAATAATATTTCACAATACTGTTTTTCCTGTGTTTTTGATCAAATAAATGCAGCCATGCTGAGCAAAAGAGTCTTCTTTCAAAATCATAAAAAATTAATAAATCAATAAATCTTACAGACCCCAAACTTTTATTTTCACATATTTTCACTTTACTCTTGGCATACATAGGCAAATTTCAATTAAATTGTAATTTGTATAGTGCTTTCACAGCACATATTGAATGTAATATGATCACATATCAGCACGTCTGGACTGCTCCATGTATTTGTTTGTGTTTTTGTATCCAGTGCACGGTCACCTGCGGCCCAGGCTTGCGGTACAGAGTCGTGTTGTGTGTGGATCACAGTGGGCAACATACTGGCGGCTGCAATCCCCACCTCAAACCCCATATCAAAGAGGACTGCCTGGTCCCCATCGCCTGCCACAAACCTCGAGGTACAGACAACAATAAAGTGATCTTTTAAAAAGATCCACATTCGAGTGCGCTACTTTACTCCCTACTGCCTACATAGTCAGCTGCCTTGAAAGTCAGCATCTTCACTGAAATAGAACCTTATGCAGTATGTGGATTTGAAACATTCTACATAGGCAGGGACTGCACATGTGAAATGATTTAATTCCATCTAATTTTGATGTTAGCATATTGCTAAGCTAACTACATGATGCTCTAATACAGCGGTTTTCAACTGTTCAGACTCAAAGGCCCCTCAAGGTCAAAGACAATATTTGAAGGCCCCTAAAAATATTTCTAATACTTTTGCTGTAATGACAAAACTGCTCATTTTCAAACTTTTTTTTATTTAAAGAAACTAGGAGTGGCCATTTAAATGGTTATTTAAATATTTTAATATTTATATAAATATTGTCAATTATTTATAATAATGATATTTAATTAAAATGATGAAATAAAACAATAATAAATAATTCAAATAATTCCAAAAGTGAATGTTCTTCATGGTTTAAACTTTTTATTATCCATAAATTTACACATCTTTTCTAGTCATTTGTGATTACAGTGTTTTTTTTTATATTATTATTTTCCCTCATAAATAGCCATTTTTATCTGATAACAGCTTGACAGAGTTAGAAAATTTATATTTCATTTAAATAAATAAATAAACAAATATTTTAATTTTAATTTTAATTTTAATTTTTATTTTCCCTCATAAATCGCCATTTTTATCTGATAACAGCTTGACAGAGTTAGAAAATGTATATTTCATTTAAATAAATAAATAAACAAATATTTTATTTAATTTTAATTTTAATTTTAATTTTAATTTATGCCTTTCATGACCAGGTCTAGAATTCACACATTTAAGAATCACGTATATATCCAGATTTTTCAAAGACTCTAAAAATCCTTGGTTCTTAAATAAAAATGATAGTTGTTGAGGGAACAAATTAAAAGATGAAATATGATATGAAATATTTCTCGAACATTTTTCATAGACCTTGTCGCAATGCGTTCTCGGAGAGTCTTGGTGAATTGTACATTCAGTGCTGCCTTCTTTCTCTCATAAGTTCCTTAGTTTTTTTGTCGAATCAAACGATGTAATACTGTGATTCATCGTAGCTGCTTAGTTTCATTCAAGGCTTTGAACTCTTTATGGAAGAATTTTCTTAAAATGCCTTCATAGAAAATAAATTGGAAATAAATCTGGAGCCAAGGCCGCTGATAAAGTGAGCAGTCACTGTTTAGCTCCATTCATCTACTAATAAAAACTAACGTTAAATCGTTGATATGATTGAAATGCTGTCAGAACTTATTTGTTTCAGGGAAGCATTTAAAGTCTCTCTTCCAAAACCTAGTAATAAAATTATGCTGCCCTTTAAAGAACCCCATTTTGCAGCATTGCATGTATCTATCACAGAGAATATAATGAGAATGTGCAGTGCAAAAAAATCCATCCGTGATAGTGAACTGCAGGAAAGAAACGTTTTTCATTTATGTAATTTGTATTTGAATGAGGTACAGAATTGCTGACTGCATAGAGTCTTCCATCTCAGTGAAGGATGTTACCTATGTAGGCAGCAGGGAAGCTCACTAGCCAAAGAGGTCTCCATTAGGGAGCAGTCAGTGCCTACAGCTGTCAGACAGGAGAGAGGAGTGTTTGCCGCAGACAGACGCTCATGAAAATAATGTGTGATCTGAATATGAAATGCTCCAGAAGTGCAGACTGACACCGTGAGCTCATCGAGAGTCAGTCACGGTGCGTTTTAGAGCGGTTTCTTGCTGTGGAGTTAATTAATACCTGAGACTTCTCCCTGTATGTTACTTTATTTTCCTGTCAGATCCCTGTTCCTTCTGACAGTGTCTTTCCCGGAGGAGAAAACATGAGAATGAAATCTCTTTTGAGATCTCATTATGATCTCTGTTGTTTTTCCTAGCCACCAGTGAAATAAAGTCAAATTAAAGTAAAATTAGTGAATCAATAACTACAATTTACTTTTCATATCAGAAATTAATTAAACAAGTGGTTGAAAATGAATAAAATGTTTTCCTAACACTATAGCTCTGTACTCCTGACAACATTTGTTCTATTCTATTCTATTCCATCCAATCCAAAGCTATTTTTGGAGAAACATCTAAGTTGAAGCATGACTGAGAACTCTTTTAAAAAGAGCAACCTCGGTTCAATAACATTTTTTCATCTGGGTCTCTCCGTGTGACCGTGTCTTTTCTCACTTAAATATGTTACGTCTTTTTGGCAAGACAAACTTGTCATGAAGTCTTGTGTAATTAGTTCAAGCGATTTGACTGAGTACATGTATAAATTGCACTTTTTTTCATGCCAAGTCATGCCAAACACAGTCCCGTCTGCTCATGAATCAAACGTCCTTATTCGAGACAGAAGACATGCGAGGCACATAACAGGAGGTGTTTGTCATCTAGACGTCTAACACTTTCCTCCTCACACGTGTTTTACATTTACAAGCTTTGCTTAAATCCTCCAAATTTTCATTGAAGGAATGCTTCACCCAAAAATGAAAATTCTGTCATCATTGAATCACCATAATGTCGTTTCAAACCCAAAGAGCAGCTTGAAGATCCCTTATAATTCTCCTTTTGTGTTCCACTGAATAAATGCACAGGTTTGAAATGAAATGTGACCCTGGACCACAAAACCGGTCTTAAGTCGCTGGGGTATATTTGTAGCAATACTTTTATTCAGCAAGAATGCATTAAATTGATCTAAAGTGACAGTAAAGACATGGCTTCTGCAAAAATATTAAGCAGCTCATATGTTTTCAACATTAATAATAATAATAATAAATGTTCTTGAGTAGCATATAAGCATATTAGAATGATTTCTGAAGGATCATGTGACACTGAAGACTGGAGTAATGCTGAAAATGAACAGGAATAAATTAAATTATAAAATATATTCAGATAGAAAACAGTTATTTGAAACTGCGATAATATTTCATAATATGACTTTTTACAGTATTTTTGATTACATAAATATAGCTAATGTGCTGAGAATAAGAGACATTTCAAAAACATAAAAAAATCTCTCCAACCCCAAACTTTTGAACAGTAGTGTATTCCTTTAAATGTAATATCAGCCAAAATTCAAGAAACCGTAATCAGAAACATCTGCAATCATGTCATGTCTGTGTGCAGTTAGTGAGGACAACGCAATAGCAAAGCAGTATTTTTTTATTTTTTTGGATCTCTTCACATTTGTTCTTGCAAACTGGTTGTGAAAGTGGCATATTTTTAAAACATGCTCAGATTCATCACTTATTTCTGTGTGTGTTCAGGTTCATCCCAGGTCTGTGGTCGGCCTGCAGTGTGTCTTGTGGTCTGGGCGTTCAAAGGCGTCAGGTGAAATGCAAAGTGCTGCTGTCTTTCACTCAAGCCGAAGTCGAATTACCTGATGAAGAGTGTGACGAGGACAAGCCTCCCCTACAAAGGACCTGTGATTCAGGCCCCTGTTTACCATCTCCAGACTCGTCCTGGAGGCCCCTGAGCGCCCAGGAGATCCCTGATCAGCACGGCTATGTTTGGGAATACATGGGCTTCACTCCCTGCTCAGCTTCATGTGCTGTTGGTGAGCCTCCATGAAACCCATTAGAGAAAACAACCACTCTAATACGTTTACTGCCCAAATAGCTTTTATCAACAGTTTTCTACAGCAAAAGGACTGATTTAGATTTTTACATGTACAGCTTTCCAGATTAAATGAAATTGGCATGAAATCTAAAATTGCTAAGAGAGCTGATAGTGATCAGCCTGGGCTACAAAATACATATTGAAATGCTCCTCTGCCAAAAACCTTGTTCCTCACAGTGTTGTTTTTCAGGCAAACAGATGGCTGTTGTCAGGTGTGTGAGCACCTTGAAAAAGGAAATTGCTGATGACACACTCTGCAACGGCTCCAAAGCGCCACTGACCTTGCTTCGCATCTGTAACCCTCAGCCGTGTCCTCCAAGGTACGGTCCAATCTGGAATAAATATTTAAAAATGTATTTGAAAAAAATATTTTAATTCAAATGAAAAGATTGAGCGAATTCAACATAATGCGAATAAGTTAACACTCACACTCGTGCACATCCAGTCACTACCTTTCATCGCCCCGAAAAAACGCAAGCCTGTTTTCTCAATCACATGAGGTGTTCTGACATCATAATATTCCCTGAATGACACCCCTACATTAGTCCAAACATGACATGTTTGGGGCTTATGTGGAATTACAGATCTCATAAACTTTAATCTCTTAAGCCTGGAAAGCGTTTAGACAGTGGGCGGCTTGAGGTGTGCATTGACACCCACTCTGGGCGAGCGCATTTCCACAATACTTAAATACTTTTACAGATCACTAGTGTTTCATGTGTGTTTTAGTTGCATTTAATGACATGACAGGAATAAATGTACACAAGTTCTGAAAAGCATGTTGTGCTTTTATTCCTGAATCCAATTATGCACAGATCACGCAAGCTACGAATTTCAGCAATATTTTCCAAAAGGGTAATCTCGGCAGAAATATGGAAAAATCATTCTGTGGTTCATTAGGAGACTTTGCCACATTTTTTTTATGACCACGTTTATTCTAAGTGCGGTTGACTCCTAAATATCAAAGTCTTTTGGTCCATGTTAATGCTATATTTATCAATATAACCTGGTATTACTGTAAAACGATTTTGTTTTCATTGTTATTATAGTACTTGGGTTTATTTTTATTAGAAAGGATTAGAGCCAGTGTTTCAAGTTTAACAGTCTTCACTTTTCACTTTTCCCACACAGCAATATGGGTAGATAGAAATAGTGAAACATATATATTTGTATAACTTTATCTAAAATTCTATATAAAAAGCTCCTCTGCCAAAAACCTTGTTCCTCACAGTGTTGTTTTTCAGGCAAACAGATGGCTGTTGTCAGGTGTGTGAGCACCTTGAAAAAGGAAATTGCTGATGACACACTCTGCAACGGCTCCAAAGCGCCACTGGCCTTGCTTCGCATCTGTAACCCTCAGCCGTGTCCTCCAAGGTACGGTCCAAAGGACACTGCAAGAAATCACTATAGAAAAATGTATTTGTTGCTTAAACAAATTGCTCTATTTCAGGATAGCTATAAGCTAATTGTTTTTATAAGCTAATTGAAAGTGCTGTGGTGTGTGCCATAATATTTTTTTGCCAGGATCTTTTATTCGTGCATAAATTCAGTTATCAATTTTTAGTATGTATGTTTGTGTGTGTGTGTGTGTGTGTGTGTGTGTGCGTGTGTATATATATATACACACACACACACACACACACACACTGTGTATATGTATATAGCATTTACTTGAACTTTTGTAACATTATAAATGTCTTTACTGTCACTTTTGATTAATTTAATGCATCCTTAAAAGTATTCAATTCTTAAAAAAAGAAAAACAATCTTTCTGACCCCAAAGGTTTGGATGGTAAAAAGAGTGAACTAAATGATGAGCGAATAAACAATGTTTTTTAAATAATCATTATAATGATGAAAAGAAAAATAATATTCCTTCATCGTCTTTGTTGAGTCACTAGTTCCACATGTGTTGCTTGAATAGTTTGCCAAAAAAAAATTACATTCTGTCATTATTTATTTATCATTGCAAACCTGTATGCTCTTATTTTTTCCTTGGAAGACAAAATAAGACATTTTCAAGGTTTTGTTTGAATATAAGGACAATTCATAGTGACAACGAAAGTGAAGCTCTAAAAAGCACACAAAACGTTTTGTTTTTAATGTCATACAATCACTTTGCGTGAAGAACAGCCTGAAATAAAGACTTTATTTTACTGATAATCAAATAAATTCTGTAATTAATTGGTAAGGTGCTGTAATCAGAAATTAGCGTGTGATATTGTGATCTCTAGATGTTGCTCAATTAAATCTAGGGCAGTTTTTCACCTGCTGATTGTCCGTCTATTGCAAGACTGACAAGTGTAAGTCTGTTCATTTAAAAAAAAATGTAATAGCACAACCCTATTTAACCTGAAATATGAACAATAATAATACTAATAGTGATGCTTGCTTTAGCAAATGCCACTGATTAATTCTTCCAACACCAAATGTGTTTGTCATGGAAAGATATTGCGTGCAAAAGCAAGGAAGGAAAAAACGACATAATGATTCATCCAGCTCCTTAACAAGGAGCTAAAATTGAACCACTGGCCTAGATTATGTTCAAAGACCAAACTCAGATTTAATCTTAGCAGGCTGTCAGGCCGCTCTGAAAATAAGGACATGTGATGAAAATAATGTGATTTCCTGTTAACTGACCATTTGCCAACAAAAGCAGGACAGCTGGCTTTTTAGTGCAGTGCATTATGGAATAAATGATTTTACTGGAGCTGATATCTTTCATGTGGCTTTTTCTGCACTGTGGCTCAGAATATTACAATGGTTCATATTCTTATGGGCAAAAGCTTGATTGTTATCTCAGATTATATGGGCAGGATTGTTTGAATTCGAAATGCCTGGTGTTTAAGTCATGTGATCACCTTCATATGGATCTTTCCGATCATGATTGTCATGGAATGCCAGGGATCATAAAGTTCAAAGACCATGGCAATGTCACTTTATGTTTTGCATTGCTATACAATATACATGCAATAATATCCTGCTAAATCATAAACATACAGATTACTGTGGTAAGGAATATTGTTGGCATTTTGTGTTATAAATGATTTACTTTCTTATTTCACCTTCCTGGTCTTATTGCGCATGACTTCTCAGTGTTTGTTGTTCAAAAGAAAATATTTGTCTTTATAATCTATTATTTTTATATTATTATAATTGATCAAATACATCAAGTATTGACTTGCCCTGCATCTGAAACAACTTTACTTTTCGGCTGACGTCACCTAGACTGCTGTTAATGTTAACCAAAAGTAAAGCGATATAAAAAAAAATTTTTCTTTAATTGAAATAAAGCTGGCATAAAATCAAATATAAATATAAAATATATATATAAACTTAATTAGAAATGTTTTCTAGGCAACTAACTGAAATAAAATAAGTTCTAAATAAAATAAGTACTAAAATTTCTAAATTAAGGCTAAATAAAAATATTTAAAAATGACAAAAGCATATAACAAAAAAATAAACACAAATTAAAATTTAATTAAATATTTAAATTAAATTAAAAACTGAGACAAAAAACTAAATGTTATTAAATTAAATCTGGAAATATAAAAAATTAAATGGTAAATTAATAAATACTATAAATTTAAATACTCTCTCTCTCTCTCTCTCTCTCTCTCTCTCTCTATATATATATATATATATATATATATACACTGATCAGTGATCAACCACTTGCCAAATAGCTATTTTGAGGGTGTTATAAGTAAATAGAGCTGGACCTCCTCAATCCACTCCAAGCTTACATTTAGTTCTGAATTCATTGTGTTGTAAAACATCCACTTTTCATGATCCAATCAATTCCCAATCGAAAAAAAAAAAAAATCTTCTATGCACTGAATATCCTGTATGTCACGTGAATTTAAAATGGGTTGTTTATGCATGGAGTGTGTAAGAGCTGTGTGTTTTCTTCAGATGGGAGGTGAGCATGTGGAACCCGTGTTCTGTGTCGTGTGGCGTGGGGCTGCAGACGCGCAGCGTGTCCTGCGTGAGGTCTGTGGCAGGAAACCGCACTGAATCTGTGTCCAGCAAAGAGTGTGTGGAGAGAAGACCTCCAGAACTGCAGGCCTGCAGCCAGGTGGCGTGTCCACCGGCCTGGGACGCTGAGGAGTGGCAGCAGGTTAGTGAGCCCCGTGATTTCAGAGAAAAAGGACAAAAGTCAAAATATAAATGAAGAAGAATAGAATAGATCTTTATTGTCATTGCTTAAAGGAACAATGACAAATCCTTTAGCAGCTCTTCAATAGCAGAATCACAGTAAACATTGTACACATTGTATATAAATAATAAGGACAATTGTGAAAGGAGAAACACAATGTAACTGAAAATTGGTAAATATATACAAACAAATCCACAGTATAAACAGACAAGACATGTATACAAAATGACAAAGACATTCATATAGAATGAAGATAAGATATAAATACAGAGATAAACAAGTGGTAGTACACAGTGTGGTAGTACAGAGTAAAGTAATAGTGCAGTGTAGAATATAGTGTGGGGGAGTTATTGCACTTTTTTTTTTTTTGAGGTATAGGGGTTTATTGCAGATTATGCATTTAAGCATTTAACTGCCTATAGGGGAAGAAGCTATTTTTTAGTCTGTTTGCTTTGGATTTTGGATTTGAAATAATTGCAACTCCTTGTAAAAACTATAAGCTGGTGCGTAAGAATAAATGGAAGCAAATAGTCTAATAAAAACAGATAAATCCCTCACAATGCTATAGCTTGCAATATTTTAATGCAGTGTTTCAATGTGAAGTTCATCTGGTTTGAAAAACAACTGACAAAAAATTAGTGCTGCATGATATTGCAAAAACTGACCTTGCGGTATTTTGTTTTCCTGCTATATACAGGTGCATCTCAATAAATTAGAATGTCGTGGAAAAGTTCATTTATTTCAGTAATTCAACTCAAATTGTGAAACTCGTGTATTAAATAAATTCAATGCACACAGACTGAAGTAGTTTAAGTCTTTGGTTCTTTTAATTGTGATGATTTTGGCTCACATTTAACAAAAACCCACCAACTCACTATCTCAACAAATTAGAATACTCCATAAGACCAATAAAAAAAAACATTTTTAATGAATTGTTGGCCTTCTGGAAAGTATGTTAATTTACTGTACATGTACTCAATACTTGGTAGGGGCTCATTTTGCTTTAATTACTGCCTCAATTCAGCGTGGCATGGAGGTGATCAAAATACAGGAATTTTCACCAGATGACTTGAATAGCTATATTTGGAAAGACTGAATTAATAATTTTGTTGGGGAGAGGGGAGCATATAATAATAATAATAATAATATTTAAAAGCTTAAAATGTAATTCTTTTCTGAAGTTTTTATTTATTTATTTGTTTGTTTATTTATTTATTTATTTGCATTTGTATAAATAATATATTGGGATAATACTGTAAAAATTTATTCTGTAAAATGTAAAAAAAATCTCTCTCTGAAAACGATAAAACATATACAGTATTTATTTAATTAAATCACAGCATGTGCAATTTGACAATCGTACTAAGCCATATTGCAATATCGATTTTATTTACAGTATATCGTGCAGCCCTACTTAAAATATGATTTGCAAGCTACAGTATAGCAGTGTGCAGGATTCATCTACTTTTTTAAAGTAAAAATGACAAAGAAATCTTTTTAATATCTCAATGGTTTCTCCTAGGCAAATGTAGACTTTTGCATAGATTTGCTTATATTATAAAAACAGCAGGTGCCAGAGATTCACATAAACACTCAGAAGGACATGCTATTCTCTTTGAGCATGTTTTGTTATGGAACATGTGAAATCATTTTTATAGCTGATCTTGAATCTTCACGTAGCTTTTAATGACTTGGGTAAACAACATCTGCACATCGAGTGGTGTGTGGTTGTATTTGCTCACATGCTGTGCTCTCTCTGGCTGTGGCATATGTGGAAAGGATTGATGTTGGTTTGTTTGGTCTCTGGGTCAGTGCTCTCATTCGTGTGGCAGAGGAACTCAGTGGCGTAAGGTTTACTGTAAACAGAGACTGGCTACTGGAAGTTACCGCAGGTTGAGTGACGAGGAGTGTGCTGGAACCAAACCCGACGGCCACAGGATTTGCAACAACCCTGACTGTCTGCTGCCTCGTCTGGAAGGAGGAGAGTGGTCAAAGGTGTGTGTGTGTGTGTGTGTGTTTCTAACCAAGCTAAACTTTGGAAATATATTTCCTATAAAAGTTACCAAAACCTATTTGGGGACATACTCGAAGAGACAAATACTTCATAAATAATATTCTTGCACAGTGAGTTAAGGCTGGAATACACTACACAAATTTGGCCCAGATTTTAGCACCGATTTACAGTCTGGAGAAGTTGACGCTAGTTGCTGAAAGTCAGAGCCAGTCTGCAGATTTGAGTTGACAGATTTCATGGAAAGTCGCGTAGTGTTTGATGGTCACAGACTCTGATTTTTTAGCCTCAGACTATGATTCCATCCAGTTGGAGGATATCAAACATTTTCTGAGCCAATTTTAGAACACGTATTAGTCATTTATTGTATGATGCCCAGTTTTTTCACTGTAACTGATTACAAAGATGGCTAGTGTATGATGCCTAGTGTTTTAAAATCTATTCAGATTTTAAAAGTCATGTTGTGTATTCCAGCCTTTAGTTTGCAGTGATTACACGACCATTCGAAGGTTTGGGGTCAGTCAGTATGTATGTAGGTATGTATTTATGTATGCATTTATTTATTTGGTACAATTTGGTAGCATTTTAATTATTTATATGTATTATTTCAATTATATGTGACCCTGGAGCACAAAACCAGTCTTAAGTCGCTGGGGTATATTTGTAGCAACAGCCAAAAATACATTGTATGGGTCAAAATTATAGATTTTTTTATCTTTTATGCCAAAAATCATTAGGATATTAAGTAAAGATCATGTTCCATGAAGATATTTTGTAAATTTCCTACCATAAATATATTAAAACTTAATTTTTGATCAGTAATATGCATTGCTAAGAACTTAATTTGGACAAATTTAAAGGCGATTTTCTCAGTATTTTGATTTTTTTGCACCCTCAGATTCCAGATTTTCAAATAGTTGTATCTCGGCCAAATATTGTTATATCCTAACAAACAAAAAAAGCTTATTTATTCAGCTTTCACATGATGTATAAATCTAAATTTTGAAAAATTGACACTTAAGACTGGTTTTGTGGTCCAGGGTCACATATCATTCAAAAGTTTGTTTTAAAGAAATGAATACTGTTGAGCAAGGATGCATTAAATTGATCAAAGTAAAGTAAAAGTATTTATAAGGTTACAAAAGATTTCTGTTTAAAATAAAATGCCGTTTTTTTAAAACATTCTCAAAAAAAAAAAAAAAGCATCACGATTTTCACAATAATGATGATGGTGAAAATTCAGCTTTGCCATCACAGGAATAAGTTACATTTTAAAATATATTCAAATAGAAAATAATTATTTTAAATTGCAATAATATTTCACAATATTAAGGTTTTTATTTTTTCTTCCTTTTTTTTCAACTCAAATAAATCCATCTTTGGTGAGCATAAGAGACTTATTTCAAAAACAAAAATGTAGATAGAAAGGTAAATTTATTTCTAAAGTGAATGTTGTTCCAACCCCAGATTATTATTATTTTATTTCTTGCAAGAAACACAAAAGTAGGTATCCAAAAAGGGCAATTTTGCAGATGTTAAGGCATGTTAAATCACTTTCAGAAGGATTTCCTCCAGCTGATGAATGCTAAATACATTCACAGCCAGTCAGAATTCATCCTGCTTTAAAGAGGTTGAGCATTTAAAGCAGACGACAAAACTGCAGCACGTGCTTACTGCTTATAATAAACAGAATGTTGTCGGTGTGGACACTAATATAGTTATCTTTATAGTTATTGATCTTGGTGTGAATGGACCATTAAGCCAGGACAAACTTTCCATTTTGTGTGAACTATTCCTTTAATTGAGTTTATTTAATGTATGTATTTGTCCATATGTGTTTGTAGTGTTCTGTGACGTGTGGAAAAGGCGTTCAGCGGAGGGAACCCGTGTGTAGGAGACAGACGGCCTCCGGTCAGCTGGTCACTCTGGACAGGTCGGCCTGCAGTGACCTCCCCCTCCCTCCTCTGATCAGGAGCTGCCGTATGAGCCCATGCAGCAGTAAGATACTCTACACTTGTTTAGCTGTGTGTCTTTCCATTTCCCAACCCTCTTTACATGCAGTTTGCCACATCAGTTCACACCTGATTATGTCAATGTGAAGCATTCAATTTATTGCACATTTCATGTCATTTATAGTTGTAATTTAATTTAGAACTGACCTCTATTTGATCTTGCTCTCACTGTGGTCTCCATACATTCTGATAGCAGCACAAGGGAAATTTCATAAAAAGATTTTGGGACCCCCTGATGTTTGGAGCCGTAGTAACAGCACAATCCTACTTGGGTTTCATCTCAAATTTCTCAAATAAAACGCAGGGTTCTGTAGGTATCACTTAGCATGTTGTTATTATTCTCATGATACCCATGAACCAATGAACTCTCTGTGGTCATATATGTGAACATATTATGAGCATGTGAACTGCTTTGAGATGCATTCAGATTATAGCTTAACGCTGTGGTGCAGAAAGATCGGCCTTGATAGTGTTTCTTTAAGATTAGCTTTAGGTTCAGAATTGGGTTTATCGGTTTGAATATCTTGATAAGGTCCTGTGGAATGAAGGGACGCCCCATAGCAGATCAGTCTGCAAGCGGAGAACGTATATTCACATTGTGCCCTCATGGTTTTTGTTCTTTCACCTAAACTTTCCAAAGCCCTTTTGTCCCGTGTGATTTGACTTCACTGGGCTCGAAATCAAGAGCGGAGATTATTTGGGGGTTTCTAGAGCATTCATAACCTCACGCGAAACTAAAGTAATTAGCCCTAACCGATGTTTGAACCGTTTAAACTTCTTCCATCTCTCTCCACAGAGCACAAGCACTCCAAAAAACGTTGCCCTCTGGTCATTGGCCTGAAACGCATCTACATCCAGACCAGACAAGAAAAACGCCTCAGTTTTACTATCGGAGGACGAGCCTACCTTCTTCCCAAGACCTCCATCGTTATCAAGTGTCCCGTTCGGCATTTCCCTAAAGCTCAGGTCCGCTGGGAGAAGGATGGGAGGGATCTGACCAGTTCCAAACGTCTGAGCGTCACCAAATCTGGCGCTTTGAGGATCTACAACCTGGAGGCTGAAGATATCGGACTGTACCGCTGCTGGGCCAACCAAGATTCAGACATTTTCATCCTGAAGCTGATCGGATACAATAATAGACTCCTGGAACATCCTGAAGGAAAGAGTTTGGGAAGAAGACACTTTCATCCGTATGTCAACAAAGAAGGAGGTTACGTTGGTTCAAAGTGCCATGAGGGGTTTCCACATGGAAAGAAGGCTCCAAAATCTCGCCCGGGATGGATGGAAAAAAACGAGTTCTACCGAGATAACGATGGCCAGCCTAAGGAGCTCTGGGATACTCTTGCTTTGGGGAACTATGCTTTGGCTTCAGCCGCCAGGAGCCACACAGGAGCCTTTGTCCTTGATCCTGCACAGTTCGAGGAGCTCGTGAAGAACATCAGTCAGCTGGCCGAGACCGGAGATGTGACGGATGAAATGGCGTTGCACCTGATTGGAAAACTTATGGAGGATTTGGCTGCTGCGGGGCAAGGGGCACCAACTGAGGAAAGCACTGCGATGGACAATCATTTAGATAAGACGCCAAACACTTCTGAACGTTCTGAGGGAAAGGTGGCAAAAAAAGGCAGTTGGGCGGTTATCGTTCGACAAAAGCATCACAGATCTGCCATGAGCTTCCAGAGGGATCTCCGGATCCATGTGGGCAGGACCGCTTACCTCACCAATGCTACCCACAGCCTCACGCTGATGTGTCCCGCTCAGGGATTGCCACCTCCAAACCTCTCTTGGAGCAAAGATGGAGCTCCGCTTCAGAACAGCGACAGGTAAAGACAATGATATGTAGTTGAGGAGGTTGGAGTGCCATTCAGTGTTGCAGTTTATCTCTCTTTTTCTTACTTTCTGCAATTTGTTCTTCTTATTTCTTCTTAAGCTACAGTTTGTGAACTAAACACCCAAAAGTTTTTGGTCATCAGCTTGTTTAAATCCATTTAAATGTTGTTCTTTTTTTATGGAGGACAAAATGATTGTTTATGAATAGGGATGCACATTATACTGTACCGACACTATATTGGTTTATATTTACAGTTATGTATTTAGCAGATGCTTTTAACCAAAGGGACTTACAATTTGTGAACTAAACACCCAAAAGTTTTTGGTCATCAGCTTGTTTAAATCCATTTAAATGTTGTTCTTTTTTATGGAGGACAAAATGATTGTTTATGAATAGGGATGCACATTATACTGTACCGATACTATATTGGTTTATATTTACAGTTATGTATTTAGCAGATGCTTTTAACCAAAGGGACTTACATTGGGAATTGAACCCATGACCCTTGACGCTAGCACTATGCTCTAGTGGAACGGAATCAGCCATTGTCGGTAAAAAAATTGTCATTTAATTGCCAATATTGAATATTTATCAATTACAACATAGTGTAAATTTATAAAATTAGCCATTTGTTGGTTTACAGGCATAACGCAAAAATAATTATTGGCTTATTAGTGTTATTTTAGTATTATTTGTACTATTATAGTATTAATTCATATTTTGAATTAGCTTTTATTTTTATATTTTTCATTTTATTTTAAGTTTTAGTGACTTTTTGTGCTTCTGTCATTTTTTTCAAAAGTTTTTTTTATATATTTAGCTTTTATTATTTAGTAATTTTAGTATAAACTTAAACTTATTTTATTTCAGTTAGTTGCCAAGACAACATTTCTGATTTTCATTTAATATGTATGTAAATATTTTCTTTTTTATTAGATAGATAGATAGATAGATAGATTATATCTTGTGTTTTCATTTTAATTAAGTTTTAGTGATTTTATGTGCTTTTTTAATTTTATTAGTTTTTTTATTTTTATTTTAGCTTTTATTTTTAGTAATTTTTGTACTTCAACTTAAACTTATTTTATTTCAGTTAGCTGTCAAGACAACATTTCTGACTTTCATTTAAGTTTAAGTTATTCGTGTAATATTTATATTTTAATTGAGCTTTTTTTCTGGCAAAAATAATTTTTTATAGTTTTAGTTATCAGTAATAACACTGATTGTATCGTCCAAAATTTCCATACTGGTGCATTTTTAAAGAACCTATGTGTGCTTGACAACTGTTATATTCTTCAAAATATCTCCTTTTATGTAACAATTAGAGTTTTCAGTTTTAGATGAGCTATTCCTTTAAATGTGTAATTTTGTGTGTGCATTCTGTGGCTCAAAATATAACTAATGGCATAGACATTTTTACTATAACACACCAGTACAGTGTCTGATTACAAATCTTCTGGAATTCACGTGATTTTACTCTTTTTTTTTTTCCGGTTATTATCAACCGCAGTTCTTTTAGTCCAACGAACATGATGTTGGAAACGAGCAGAGTTCAACTTTAACACCGAAAAGCAATTTTTTCTCTCTTTATAGAAAACAAGACTCCCTGTGTACCTCTGAGTCCAGCCGTGACTGATCTTGATTGAGCAACCGCATATTCCAAAAGCCTGTTAATCACCAACCCACTCAAATATTCACCTCCAGAGTACCCTAGATCTCACGTTATGCAGTCTGTTGGGGTCAGAAATACTGGCTGTGCTTCTTTCGCTTGCTCTCAAGGGTCGCATTGTGGTCTAATCGTCTACTCTTTACTGTTGACTGTTAAATACCGTCATTGAAAACATTGACTTAGTAACTCAGCTTTGTCCAGCTCATGGCCTTAACATAGCCTCCGCCCAGACAGTCGCCAAACATTGTCTGCCACTCTTCTTGGCGTGCGCTATGGGACCTGAAAGAGACATAGCTGTGCAAACATTGTTCAGGCCTCTTCTCGCAGCCTTGGCTTGAAAACCCAGCAGCCCTGAGGTGAATCGTCAAATACTGAAGCGCTTTAACTTTCAGAGGTCACTTTTGACTTGAACTGTAGTGTCATGCTATGAAACGGATGCATTTTCCAGTTGGATAAAGTGGTTTTGAAGTACATTTTTGAGATTTTAGACATTTTAGGAGATAAATAATATGTTTAAGTGTTAATTGCATTGTGCCATCTCATGCTAAATTAGCACATTTTAAAAATGTTGAGTTACCTTCAGAAAGGTGAAAGGGCATTTAGAAAGAGAATATAATATGGAAATTTATACAAATATCCAACAGCTGCAAACACGTCGTAACAGGGCTGAAAATTTATTATTTTCACCTACAGCATAATTATTGATTAAAAAGAGGAGACTTTTCCTTAAAGATTTCCTTAAAGATAGGACTTTGTCTTTTTAATAATTAATTAGTTTAAAATCTAAGAGTGCAATATATGCAGTTTTGTATGGAGAGATTATATATTATATTATATTATATTATATTATATTATATTATATTATATTATAGCTTTTATTTCCTTATATTTATTTTTTAAATATGCATGTTTGCTAATATAGCATTAAGTTGGAAACGGCTGTTTTAGAAAAGAAAAAGAACAAATACATAAGTCAAATAAAGTTATTGTATTTTTGTTGATGAATTTAGCTAAATGTCTGTATTGACACACTGTGAAAATCAGATTTTATTGGAATCAGATTTTATTTTATTGGAGTTGGGATTAAATAGATTCATTTAGTTTTATTGATTGATGCTTGTCTCTATGATTTGTGATGCCACATCATTTTTAGATCCTTCTTAGAACTCAAATCTGGCCAGCAAGTATAACATTTTTTTTTTCTTCAGAAATCTGAAGTTCAGCTGAGGGGAACAATCTTGTTTTCAGCCATTTTTGTCTTATTATATTTTTGGATCATGCACAATTCTTTTATAATGCTTTATTTATTTATTATACCCCAGTTATTTTGACCACACTATTGCTCAGAGCTGCCAAATCATTTGCCTCCCACTCTTTTGTTGACAGCCGTGTTTGCGTGCGGTCTCTACTGCATCACTGCTGCCATCAAAACAGTGCTATTTAATGCCACTTGACTTCAAAACCAAATATAATGTCACTGCCAACTCATGCCAGCCCAGTGCCAACCCAGAATGAATGCATTCCACTCCTACAGAGTAATATTTACAATTAGATCATGTTATTCTTCTCTCACTGCAGGTATTGGGGATATTTTAAACATGTCTCGCTATACAGAAATAAAATACAGTGTGTCAGAGTTTTTTTTATTGATGGGAAGAAACAAAAACAAAAAAGAAAAATCTGTCTACCCATCTGTCTGTCAAGAAGTTCAAGAAATTTGTGAAGGTAAAAATTTGATAGCATTTTAATTATGTATATGTATTATTTGAATTATATACACTATTGTTCAGAAGTTTGGGGTCAGTAAGATTAAAAAAAATAAATAAATAAATAAATAATAATAATATAATACATCAATTAAAAGTGACCGTAAAATTTTTAAAAAGTTTTCCACAAAAATGTTAAGCAGCATAAATGTTTTGAAAACAGTGATATTTTAACTTAATATTTAACAATATTACTATTTTAGTTTTAAATATATTTGATGTAGTAAAAACTAAAACGTTTTTCAAAGCATTAACAAAGAGCTTCATACAATTACTACATGTTACATTAACCTTCCTGCCAAAATAAATATATAATAACAACAACAATAATAAAACATACAAAATATATATGCCTAATGCATACATTTACAAATGATCACATCTATATAAAAAATAAATAAATGAATATCAGTTCACATTAAACACAATAAATAATATTATACACATATGGTGCTATTTTCAGAGATCATTATTTGGTGTATTTGGTGTAATGGAATATGTTAGCGTGCTTTAATGTTCAAAAAACACATTATTTTTCATTATTGTAGCTCCTCAATTCCCAGTCTTCCTAAAACACGTTGATTTCAACAAAGCCCCTCCTTCCTGAAAAGCGCAGTGTGCTCTGATTGGCCAGCTGACCCAGTGTGTTGTGATTGGTCGAACATTTCAAGCACGTGTCGGAAATGTAACACCCCTTACCATAATCGCAAGCTTCAGCTACCAAAGCAACTATAAAGACAGTTAATAATGTTGTCAGTTTTACCGTATCAGTCCGACACATTGAATGATACTCGTATGTTTTTGCAGTAGAAAAGCCGCGGTCAAGCTGCATGGGACACTGCCAGTGTAAAAGCACAACAGGCACGTGCTGCTTCAGCTCTGCTTGAAACACAACACGTTGTGCAACTATGTTTGTCATCTTTTCGCCATCATTATAAGCACAGAACAGAGGATACTATATTTTAAAAATAAATCCATCTTTGCACTTGTGATCATAAGAACGGCAAATAATATGCATTACTCTACACTTCACCAAACTCTGCATTTGAACAATCAATAGCAAATAATAAAACATACTCACAGTCTCTGATTCAGAAGAGCCAGATTGTCCGAGCAAAGTTGGAATTGCCCCATTTTTTTGAAACAGCCTTTGTGCACAGCCAGCCATCTACTCTCTCAGGTTCAGGAAACTGTTCTTTGTAAAATGCTCTGCACAAACATGAACATTTGAATTGTTGCCTACTGTTCTGTAACAGTATTGTAAATAAATCTTAACCACTGATTCCTAATTGTATCCACTTTCGGAAGGCCAAATAAAGTACTTTTGCTTTCGGCATTATGCAAATATTTCCACATAATGCACTCTCAGAAAAAAAAGGTACAAAAGTTGTCACTGGAGGGCGGTACCTTTTCAAAAGGCACACCTTTGTACCTAAAGAGTCCATATTAGTACCTAAAAGGTACAAAAGTGTACCTTTTGAAAGGGTACCACCCCAGTGACAGCTTTTGTACTTTTTTTGAGTACGTGTGACGTAGAGGGTCTTGATGAGCCTTCTATTTAGATAGAAAAAATCTATTTTGTGGAAGACTTTAAGCTTTGCAACTTTGTAGATCTTATGCATGCACAAACAGCTACAAAACACACTAAAGACAAATTAAAACATGAAAACGCATGCGCCAGGGCCGTCTCTGCTGTGGCGCTTACATAGCGCTTCTTATTTTTGGCCAAATGTGAAGCAAAACACAGGCGAGGTGATTGACGTTCACGGACTCTAAAGCTGTGTGAAGTCTCACCCTTTCACGCTCTTTCAGTCAGATGTGTCTTGGCACCGCTGTGATGCTCTAAATCAGACCCTAACATGGTTGCTTTACTCCTAGAGCTGTGAACGGGAATTCACACTCAAACTATGAGCAAAAGTAATTTGGTTTGGTAGCAGTTTGGTTACAGAAGATTGAGATTTAGATGAAAAGTGTATTTCTAGAGTAAGCAACACTATTAATTTTACTCATACAACATACTTTTTAGTGTTAATGATTTAAAACCGTAACTTTAAGTTTCAAACTTTTGTGTAAATGAAAGGTACCTTGAATCATGGCGTTTGAAGAGAAGAGATGTGCTGTTCTGTTCTGTTTTTAAGCAGTCATCTTTATGATTTCCACCATAAGACAAGTGAAAAATGCATCCAAACCATTAGTGGTCGACCGATATGTGTTTTTTGACAGTCGATGCCGATATCTTGGAAAGCATGGTGGCCGATGGCCGATAAAAAGCCGATATAATTGTATTTATTTTAATTAATATTCAAGAAATTTGAAATCATTTGAAAATGGATTAAAAAATAAATGTGTAAAATAAACATACTTATACTTAAGAAGTATTTTTCACAAATAAATAGATATTTAATAAAAATATAATTAAAAAGGAAGTAAACGCTGTAACCAACAGGACACTCAGTATTCTGGGAAGTTTGTGTGCATTGGGAATCATATTTTTTCAAACAAAGCCAAGGTAACACTCATTTTACATACAGCACACAGTGAAAATTACATGAATATGGCAGTGGGCAAATGCATAAAATTTCCTTTCTATCTGATTATTAGGCAGACTTCTATCTGTATTAGACAGAACTGTTAACGACGACGGCGAACAAGAGGAAGAATGTGAGCACTGTGTGCTCAGGCGCTGCCGTTCTCAGCGCCGTCAAAATAAATGTCCCGCCTCAAACGCATCGGCCAAACAGAAAAACTTATCGACCGATGCCGATATTTGAAAAATGCCAAATATCGGCCGATATATCGGCCTTGGTGATATATCGGTCAACCACTACAAACCATATCTAGATTATATAGAATTTTTAGGGGTTGGTTCTTTTGCCTTGGGCTAGTAAATAAACCTATAGTTAAAATAAACCTAGTTAAATCTCTTCAATATGCCCTGCTCAGGGTTATTTTAGTTTTATCTATATAATATTTATTAATACTTTGAATTAGCTTTTATTTTTATAGTTTGTTTTTATATTTTTTTGTTTTTTATAGTTTGTTGTCATTTTTATTCGATTTGAAATATAAATATTCAGCTTTAATTTCAGTTCTAGTAATATTATTTAGTAATTTTAATGAATTAATATTTTAACAATTTAAATGTAATTATTTCATGCAATTTTCTTCCACTTAAAAAGTTTTCAGTTAGTTGTGAAGGTAGCTTTTCTAGTTTCCATTTAACCTTTTTAAGTTAGATTTTTTTTTTCATCTAATATTTTTATTTTTATATTATCAGTTTTTAGTTTTAGATTTAGTACTTTTGTGTGCTTTTGTCTTTTTTAGTTTTTAAATATTTATATTTCATTTAAATTTCTGTTCTACTAATATTATTTAATAATTTAATCATTTAAATGTAATAATTTCCATGTATCCTAAAAAAATTTCAGTTAGTTGCGAAGGTAACATTTCTAGTTTCTGTTTAACCTTTTTAAGTTAGAATTTTTCATCTAGTCTTTGTACCTTATTTTATTTCACCTTTTTTCAATTAACATTTTGTTGTTGTTGTTGTTGTTTATTTTTGCCTTCAAGTATTCTTGCCTTGTTTTCCAGTAAAAAAATATGTAAAGATCAGTTAAACAAGACAGTTTTTCAGACTTTTGCAGACAATATGTCTTGAATTAAATTTGGGAAGAAACATTAAAATTAGGTTTATGCATAAAACAAGAAAAAAAGCAATCATCTGAAATTATTTAAAATGCAAGCTCAATTTTTCCAAAAGGCATCTTATAATTTTTTTTTTTCATTAAATGTGGCATGTAAGTATACAGTAGGATAATGTTTGTGATTGTGGAAACAATGCTGCCATTGTCCCGAAGTTGATTTTCCGCACACATTTGTGCCTCTGAGTCGCTCCAGACGTGCCATCACACTTTAGATGATATCTTTTCTGTGAGTTCGATACTTCAGACATGACTCAGCTGCTGTGTTTTTATTAGTGGCTCTGAATGAGTGGGCTTTCATGAGATGTGTGCTGGATGGGATACAATGCACATTTTGTGCCGGCGTTCCCTTTGTGGCTTTGGGTGGGAGTGGACGGAGAGCTCACTGCACCCTGGAGGCTTCTAACCCATTCTGACTTTCTTAATCACTCTGTCTCTCTTCCAAAACATAGAGAGCTTCCATGCTGTGTCTGTCTACATAGGCAGCAGTCTTTTAAGGCAGCATCCTCTGTGAAATCGAGCCTTATAAGTGACTGATTTTGAATTGTTCACGTTGGCAACAACTTTGTGTTTCTTATAAATAGTGCTTTCCAAATAGTGCACATACTTTTGTGTGTGGGTGTGTGTATTTATATTATGTGTGCATCAGTAAAAATCGTTTTGAATACTCTTAGTCAGCAAAGAAAAAAGATTCAAATAAATGCTGTTCTTTTGAAATTATTTTCATAAAGGATCCTGAAAAACACTATCCCTGCAATATTAAGCAGCACAACTGTTTTCAACATTAATAATAAGAAGAGCAGCAAATCAGCATATCTGAATGATTTCTGAAGGATCCTGAGACACTGGATACACAAAATTATTATTTTTTTAAATTATTTTATATATTTTTTTTTATATATACAATTTTTTTTTCTTCATTACATTACTGGAAATAAATTAGTTATTTAATACTCATGGGTTATAAATTATAAATTATGTATACATAAATACATACTTTTTTTCATTAGTTAACTCAAGAAATAAGATCTGGGAAATATTTAACAGTGATTTCATACTTAGTTATTCAATACTAATAGGCTTGATTTCCAGATTACCATATATCTAAATTATAATGATTTATATTAATTGCATATAAATATATAATTGTTTTTTTTCATTAGTTAACTTGAGAAAGTACATCTGGAAAATGTAACAGACATTTCATACTTAGTCATTTAATAATCATGGGTTTGGGTTTTTCATTATTTAACTCAAGAAACTAGATCTGGAAGATATTTAATAGTAATTTCATAGTTATTTGACACTCATGGGTTTGATTATCAGGGAATGCATGTATTAGTAATAGTCACTTTGAATAATTAAATAAATGTAAATAAAATGGTGATTACAAATGTATAGAATTTTTTTTTTTCTAGTTTTGAGAAAATGGCTATTAAGCTTGATACCTTCTCAGTGTTACATTGTTGTAGGATCACTACAAATTTAAAACTCTTACTTTTTTTTGCTCTTGAGGCCCACTAGTCTTTCAGAAGTGTCAGATGAAGTCCCTGAGCAGCCCTCCAGATGCACACAATGGCGTCTGCACAATAAACACTTTAATCAGGTGCTGTATATAAACACCTCTGAGAGGCCATCACACTGCCTCTGATTGGTTCTTCTGGGACTCCTGATTGCTGTAAGAGATCACGTGAACCAGAACTAGAAGAGTGGCAGAGCCTGAGGGAAACCTCGGATTGATACACAGGAAATGAGAGATTGAACCAGATCTCGACCTGATCCCATAGTGTGACTTGATTAAGACACAATCCTGCTGTGTGTTTTCATGGAAAGGGCACAGAGTGGTGCATTGAACTCCTGTGTTTCATCTCTGTAATACATAGAAACCAGTTGTTGTTTTAACCCAGATACAACCCGGTTTAAGTGAACTTCTCTCTAAGTAACCCTAACCTTTACCTCATTTAGGATACACAGATTCATGAATATGCAAATTAGGAGAAAATGCTCAGCAATGATGTTGACTGATGTATTTGCACATGGTTTGTCTTTAAGCATATTAAAAACACTGAAATAGACATGTAAACGATGTCAAAAACTTGATTTTCATCACAGGGGGTCTTTAAAGGGTTAGTTCACCCAAAAATGAAAATTCTGTCATTAATTACTCACCCTCGTGTTGTTCGAAACCCGTAAGACCTTCGTTCATCTTCGGAACACAATTTAAGATATTTCTGATGAAATATGAGGGCTCTCTGACCCTCCCATAGACAGCAAGGTAACTACCACGTTCAAGGTCCAGAAAAGTACCAAGATGATCGACAAAGTAGTCCGTGTGACATCAGTGGTTCAACTGTAAAGTTACGAAGCTACGAGAATACTTTTTTGCGCAAAGAAAACAAAAATAACGACTTTATTCCACATTTTCGTCTCTACTGCGTCACTTCGACAGTATCATGACCCGAGCGTGTGGCGGCGCTGACCCAGATCCGGCGTGATGACGTCACAATAATATGTCAGAATAAAGTCGTTATTTTTGTTTTCTTTGCGCAAAAAAGTATTCTCGTAGCTTCGTAACTTTACAGTTGACCCACTTATGTCACACAGAGCCCTCAGATTTCATCAAAAATATCTTAAATTGTGTTCCGAAGATGAACGAAAGTCTTACGGGTTTGGAACAACACGAGGGTGAGTAATTAATGACAGAAATTTCATTTTTGGGTGAACTAACCCTTTAATGCTACATATGTGGGGATGGTGTTCTCTGAACTCTACAGCTGATTGGACGTGTCTCTCTTGCCCTCCCCAGGGTTTCGTGGGACAGCGATGGAGAAGTACACATCCTCAGCCCCGGCGCCAGTGACGTGGGGACCTACAGATGCACCGCCACCAACGATTTGGGCTCCGATTCAGAGACAACACTAGTTCTGCTGGCTGGTGAGACATTACACACTGTTGCTCTCTATAATGACGGTTTTGTATACAATTTGAGCTGCTGGTTTTTTATTTCTTTATAAACAGAAACTCCCACGATCGCTGCCTCGCGGAGAAACACGTCAGATCTGAAGAGCAGCAGTCTGAAGGTGGTGGTCGGAGGGGACATCAGTGTCCGTTTAGGTGCCAACCTCACCCTGGAGTGCCCCGTCAAAGGTATGGGACAATTTACAGGTGGATTTCACAATCGAAAGAAAAATAAGAAATTATATTTTGGTAAATTTTTATCAAAATCAAAAATATTCCACCAATACCTAGTCAAACATAATGTGATCTATAAGCAAAAAAAAACAAAAAATAATTTTATTACAGTAATTTTAACAAAGATAACATATATTATATTATTAATAAAATATATAAAAAAATTACAATTAGAGTACACTTACATATTTTAATATATTGTTTTATAAATAATTTCAAAATCCCTTAATTTGCAAAAAGTTTTTTAGACTTGTGCGAAAAAGGGTTAATGCGAATAATCAGAGATGGAAATGCATTTTGCGAATAAATTCCTCCATGCGCATCAAAAAATCATGTGACTTGTGAGTTTCGTCTGCTCGCTCTGAGGCACAAGGAATTTATTATACATGAAAATGATTATATTCAGTGGCTTTCCTACTTTTCTTAGTGATATTTAGTGCGAGTTTATCAGGAAGTGACGATTTTGTTCTCTTTGACTCGTTGGATGGAAACGGTTCTTATTCGCAAATGTTTAAGAAGTTAAAGTTAAATTCGCAACTATGGATTAGAAAGGAAACCCAGCTAAAGTTTCACATTATATATTAACAAACTTGTAAAATGACAGCTAATTTGTGAGATTTGGCAAAGAAATGCTAACAATCAAATTATTTATCTTACAGTATGTTTGAAAAACAGACTTTCCATGGCTTTAATCGCACTAATGTGTATTTTTGTGAGAAAACCTCTTTCCATCATTACGAGCTGCTGCGATCTCCAGTGCGGCCTCAATGTAGATTCGTCAAATTATCGAGATACTTCCCTCTGTGAAAAGTGAGCATGTTTGATGTGTGCATATCCCATGCTTAACAGCTCTTGTCCATGTGGTTTTGGTGAAAGATTCGGCTAATTGGACAGAAATGGTGTGTAAGGTCAACAGGCGTTCAGGATGCCAGGATTTCTATGGGATTTATGCCGCACTCCGTCATTTACAAACGCCAATCTACTGTAGCAAAACAGGGCTCCTGTCACTCTATTGTACTAAAATATATGTTTATATAAACAAAGGTTTCTGAGGTCGTTCTGTCTGTCCTCTTCGTCACAATTACTGTAGACTTGTTTATCTAGTGATTTGGTTGATGCAGAGGACACCTGCTGTTAACATTGGCCTCACAAAAGGCCAGAAAGCCACAAGTGTCAGCTGTTCTCTCATGCTTTCATCACCATCTGATTCCCTGAGATGAATAAACAGGATTTGAAGAACGCGTCCAGTTGGCTTTGATGGCATAGGCAGCCACAGAGCAGTGCATTATGGGTAATGATGTAAGCAGATACTGTAATTGAGTGGTTAAGCTGATGGTGTGGAGAGATGTGTTGTTAGAGGACACACACACCCGGATACAGCGAGCGTCTGATCCAGGTCACGTTATTACAGAGCATAATTTAGTCTGCTTATCACGCAGATCATTAAAAATAGCTTCATTCTAAAATCTAGTGAGCTGCCTACATAGACAGCTTACATGTAACCTCAAAAGTGACGATTTTGGAAAACTCTACATAGGCAGCAACCCTGTGCACCTAGTAGCTCTTTTTTTTTTTTAATAAATCTAAACTATTTTATTAATGCTTTCCAGTATTAAAAAATATAATTGTATTTATTTATTTTTAATTATAATTTTATTTGTCTGCTGTCTTGTATTTGTTAACAGCCTGACTACATAGTTAATATTAAAATGCTAACTTCATAGCCAGGAATTGGAACAGAAGGAAAAAATGGCTCATAAAATTGTGAATTTTTTCTAATTCTGTAATTATCTAGCAATAAACATTAAATAAATAATTATTTATATATTTATTTCTTTTTTCGACAAATGGTGAGAAAATATTGATTGTGATCAGATCAGAAGGTGATACTATATATTATTTGAGCAGTTGTATTTTCATTTTATAATGATAAATTGTTTTATTGTTTATATAGTTGTATAGTTATATAGTAGCATAGCCCAGTATTGGAACAGAAGATATAAAATGAAACATAAAATAACTTTTTTTTTTTTTTCAGATTATTGTCTAGTGATTAACATTAATTAATTTATTTATTTATGTATTTTATTTTATTTTATTTTATTTTATTTATTTATTTTATTTTTTTTGTGATTGAAAAGACAAATTGTGAAAATATTAATTGTGAATCTCCGAAAAGGTAAAACTAAATATTATATGAACTGTTTTATATTTCTGTTCATTTTATATTTATATATTTTTATGTATTTAAAAGTCAGCATTGACAGGTATTGGAACAGTAGAAAAAAATGGAACATAAAAAATATTTTTATTTTCTGATTCTGTTATTGTCTAGCAATAAACATCAAATAATAATCACATTTCAAACAAATAATCAAATTTTATTGTATTTTATTATTTTATTTTATTTTACTTTGTAGAAAGTGAGAAAATATTTGTGAGGGGAAAAAATATTGTGAACCTCAGAAGGTCAAACTAAATATTATATAAACTTTAATTGCTCTGTTTATTTTACATTTATAAATTTGCATATTGATTATAGTTAAAATGCTTTGCCAGCATTGCCAGGTATTGTAAATGTTGATTTTAATTATAGAACACCATTGAAAAGAACACAAGTTGTCCAATGTGCTTTACATCAATCAATAAAAAACCTTAAATAATAATAAAAATAATGCTACTAATTATAATGCTGATAAAATCACTAAAACTATGAAAAGTGAAAATAACGATAAAAACAACTGATTGACATTAAAGAACTACCTTTCAGACTTTTTCTATGATTGGTCAAAAGCCAAAGAAAAAAGTAGTTTGGGTCAGAGCACTTCTAATGTGTGTTGGAACGGAGCGTGTGTTTGTACGAGTATGCAGTCAGTAGGCGGTCAGCACTTAGAGATAAACATTTTGTATGTAATATATCTTCTTTTAATGTTCCATTTTTTTCTTCATCATCATGCAGTTATTGTTCCTGTGTACGTTTCTCCTCCCGATGGAAATTCCCTTTCCAAGAAAGCAGAGGTCACTGCGGCGGCCTGACTGTTTACTGGTGCCAGAGTGTGTCAGTGCTCATGTGTATGCCTGACATGCACACACACACACACACACACACACACACACACACCTCAAGGCCTCCGATGTGATTTTCCATTTCTAAGAGTGTGTCTATTCATTGGCTCTCAGACTAACGGCCGTATGTCAGTACTAATGTCTCCATTCGGCAGAACGGGGGATCATAAAACTCAGACTCCAATCCATGTGCTGCACATTATTTTCAGCGGGGGCGTCCCATGGGAACTAGTTGGAGGGAGGCAATTTGCATTCATTGTGCCCATTTGAACAAGTAATTTGTGGCAACCTGCGGGCCTCTTGTTGATCTGCTGTTTGAATCAACATTTTCTGCGGTTTGATTTATTCGGCGCGGGCTCTGATGTTGACATATGAGTCTTTTAAGGGCAAGATAGCAGTTGCCCCTAAATACTGGAACTTGTTCAGTGATTTGTCAAGAGCTTAGGTTTGTTTTGGGGAAAGCTGCTCCCAGACTGGGGTGCAAAATAGGGTCTGAAACTCTATTTCAAATGGTCAGAAGATATTGATTGTGAAACTCTGTTAAAAAGGTAAAATACTAAATATGATATGAACTATTTATTTTATTTCATTTTATTATTTTATGTTATTTTATTTTATTTAATGTTATTCATTTTATTTTTCAATTCTGGCAACCCTGGAAACTAATTTTGGCATGTCTCAGTTTGTGAGATTCTGTTATGTTTTTTTTTAAATCAAACATTAAACACAAATTGAATATTAATAATCATTATTATTATTTTTTATGATTATTTACAATAATTATTGTTGTTAATAATAATAATAACTTTGGTTATTTAGTTATACAAGGTTGGGAAAAATAGTGGTTTATAGTTGGTTACACCATATACTTTCCATAAATTATGGAAAACATTTTTTATAATATTTTATTATACAAAAATATTTAAGTTTCATAACTGTGCTGAGCTTGACAAATACAGTCAATAGTACAATTTGTGTATAGATGAAGAAAGTGAATTGAAATTGTTTGGCTTTCAGTATTTTAAAGAATGTTTTTGTAATTTTTTATTTTTTTGTATTTTGTTTTTATAATGTGGCAAAGTCATGTTGAGCACAGGTTTGCCTGCAAATGTGGGACACAGATGAAATAAAATTAATTAAACATATTTGAATGTAATATAATTTCAGCTCTTTTTTCTCTCAAAATGGCATAATTTATTAAAAATTATGACGTTGAACTATTTTATTTGTTATTCTATTTTATACAGTCTAGGAAGTGATGAGGTGGCACAGGCCAAAATCACCATTTTAAGGGCGAGATTTGATGTGTTTGAAAATACCATATTTTTCTGCAATGCTGATTTTATTTTAAATAATACTTCATGTAAAGTATCTAACATTTCTTTCCCTCAAACACCTTTAAAAAGCAACGGGACACCTAAACTGTACCCTACTCATACAGTAGAAAGCGGTGATTAGCGTCAGCTCCAGACTCCAGTGTGAATTGATTGATTGAGAGTGACCTGATGGTTTTCTCTGAACAGGTGTCCCGCGGCCAACAGTGAGCTGGCACCGTAAGGAGGGTCCGCTAGGCGCCAGCGCTAGTCCTCTCCTGGACGGATCTCTGCTGCTGAGAAACCTCACACCGCAAGACTATGGCACCTACTCCTGCGTGGCTGCCAACAGCATTGGAAAGTCGGTGGCCTCCGGCCTGCTGCGTGTGGCGGGTGAGTAGCGATTCCCATAGCAGCTGTATGTCAGTCCACACTTCTCCGGGTGACAGGGAAATCCTCGCACGACAGCGTTTCAGTGCTAAGTGAACCGCATTCTGTGGGTTGGCTCGGTTTCCGACAAAGTCAGCGGGAGATTTGCGAGTCGCTTATTGATATTGGCATCGTTTATTCTTATTGAGAAATAATGTGTGACCTACAGCCTGCAGGGGTGGTAAAATCCATTTTTGCAGCGAAATGAAGAAATATTCCCTTCTTTATAGAGGCCGTTTGTCTCTTGAGATCTTATAGGCCACAAAAAGAAGGCAGTCGAGGCCTTGTTTGGCATCAGATGACACAATTTCCCTCCGTATTTCATTAATTGAGGTCATTTCGGTCTCCATCACGGTCAAAAGCAGCTGTAATCTCTCTGCTGATTAGGAAAAAGAGTAATAATTCAGCTGCTTGAAGTCGTTCAACCATCAAAGGAATAATCTTTACCTGTAGGAATGCTTTGGTTGATTGCGTTTGATGGTGAGATGTTTGATGACACAATGCTGTCCTGATGCCAGGAGGAGCTATGGGTGAATCTGAGCACCAGGCTTCAAAGGAGATGAACAGGAAGAGGGTTCTGATGGCCTCAGTGATCGGCACCAGCGTCACAGTCAAACTTGGAGATACCTTACGGATAGGTACTTTCATGTTGTTTAAATGCACTCTTAAAAATAAAGGATCCAAAAGGGGGTATTTGCAGCAATGCCATAGATCAAAATAATTTTGGGTTCCCCAAAGAACCTTTTTTTTTTCTTAGAACATTTTATAATCTAAGGAAACTTTTTCCACAATCAAGAATGTTTTGTGGAATGGAAAGGTTCCATGGATGTTAAAGGTTCTTCACTGAACCATCAATGCCAATAAAGAACCTTTATGAGTGTATGAGCTTGTTTTGAAATTTAAACACCATATTATCAGTCTTACCTACATAATTTGCCATTTTTTATTCTGTATTAAAGGGTTAGTTCACCCAAAAATGAAAATTAGGCTGCGTTTTACTCACCCCCGAGGCATCCTAGGTGTATATGGCTTTCTTCTTTCAGACGAATCCAGTCGGAGTTATATTAAAAATTGTCTTTGATCTTTCAAGCTGTTTAATGCCACTCAGCGGGTGTTGCATTGCTTCAGTTCAAAAGAACTTAAATAAAAATCGCCCATCCATAAAAAAAAGTGTCTCACACGGCTCCGGGGGGTGAACAAAGGCCTTCTGTAGCGAATCGATGCGTTTTTGTAAGAAAAATACCAATTTTCAAAGCGTAATAATCACTTGAATCTAGCTTGCGCTCACTGTTGTAAACAGAAGCAGCTCCGAGGGAATGACGTATGAGGTCAGCGTTGAATATATCATATTCAGGTCATAAAACGCAGCCTAATTTTCATTTTTGGGTGAACTAACCCTTTAAGGCTTGTTTCTTGTAGATTAATGGTATACTACATGTTTTTGTGCCTAAAGAAATTAATAGTGTTTATCACAAATCATTTTCTCATTTATAAGTCATTTTGCATAAATGAAAAATGAATAGATGTAAATATTATTATTATTTATTCATAATGCAGTGTTTTCTATAGTGTAATTGGATGTTCAAAAAATGTAGGATGAAAAATTAATTTAATTTAGTGTTTTTAGAATAGCATAAAATGTATAGTTTTGATTTATGCATAAAATAAGGTCTTAAAAACATTTGTAAAAATCCTATTCTTAATGAGTATTTTTGTATTTGTTTCCAGTGTTCTTGTTTTATTTTAGTATCATTAAGATACTATTAGTTTTTTTTTACTATTAGTTTTCTGTTTTAATTTTAAATGTAGTTAAAGTTTTAGCAAGTTTGTTGTGTTTTGTCATTTGTGTTAGTTATTGTTTTTAATATGTCTATATAGTTTTTGCTAATTAAAAATGTTTCGGTTTTAATATGTTTTAACACGTTTTTAACTTGTTTCGCAGAGGAAATTTATCGTATTCCAAGGATTTTAAGATATTTTACCTGGATAACAACTACAAAAAACGAATTATCAGCTAATTATTTATATCAAATTATTTATATCAACTAATAGTTATTCATATCATATGTGACCCTGGACCACAAAACGTCTCGGTTACGTATGTAACCCTCGTTCCCTGAAGGAGGGAACGGAGACGTCACGTCGGATGACCGACGAATTGGGATCTCGCTTAGAGGGAC